CCAATGAAATTTCTTCCATGTGGTCTAAACAGGGAACGTTCTGGAAAGAAAACAACTCTTGAGTTTTTGTCCTTCCATCTTTCTTACACCCTTTTTTAGCCTTCATTTTTAATGGATGAACTTAATCTAGTTATTTAATGATTGAAGCTTTTGCTCACAGGCCTTACATAATAATCCTGATAATTATTTTTTATCATGCTCATTCGTACATGCCTCCTGCCAATGCGCCTGAGGTGCTGCACAGACACTGCAAAACATAGTACAAATTAAACATAACAAAAGAAAATCCAATGACATATTTAGAAAGGCATATATGATATTAAGAACAGAAAGACTGTTTTCAAACATGAGGAATTGCAAGGCAAAACCACTGCAAATACAAAGGGATTCCTGTGAGTTTCTTGTTATCAACCCTATCAAATTCACTTAGCTACAGCAGATGAAACCTTTGTTCATTTCCCTCCAGCTGGCATCTTCAGAACACTTTCTTCATTTTATTTTAAAATACTTTTAGATTGTTTCTGGTTTGTATACAACTTGGAAGCTCTATCTGGTTTGATACCTACAGAGCTGTTATAATATGGTCATTTCTGGCCATCATCCTTAAAGCAGTTATACTGACAACGTGCTACATAAGATACAAAAAGAATTGTTACTTTGTTATACAGAAAGCGAACTGAGACAGAAAGGAGACAAAGCTTGCCAAGGCAAACAAAGCTTGTGGAAGAAAAAGAATTTGCACCCAAGTCATCCAATTGCCAGACTATCACCCCATCTAAGCTGCAGTACATCTTCAGCTGTTACTAAAAGACATGAAACTTTGGGATTAAAATGCAAATAAGGTACACCTTAAGAAACAACACCTGTGGACTTAAAGGCAAATATAACATGCATTTGTATCCAGTCCATGAGTACATACATACAGATGCCTTTCAAAACATCAATAGCTTGTGCAAATGTTAAGGATCAATTTGATAAAATCTTTAAACTCTTGACTTTGCAAATAGCCTACTGTTTTTATGTCCTATTTTTCCTGAGATTCTTAATCTCTTGTCAGACAAGCTCTCCAAAACCTGAGTTTCAGAATATCTGTGCAGCTACTGAACTGCATGTAGTCTGCTTGTTAACAAGAAATGAAGCTGGAAGTTAAGTCACTGCTAATTAAACTCACAATTACAAGTGGAAGGTCAGACAGCAGATCCAAGGCCTGTATGAAAATGTAACAAGACAAAAGAATGAACAAACTTGCACGTAATAATTCAGTCCTTACTTGGCAGATTGACCTATTAGAAGACTTCTCAGCTGTATACAGTTCTGAAGGCAAATATTAGAATAATGAATGGAAATCATTTGGATTTAAACAAGTTTGTCAAGGATTAGCACAGGCTGTAAACATTACCTGGGTTTCTAAAAAGAACCCCAAACAAACAAAAAAAAAACCAAACACCCAAACAAACCAAACACAACAATTAAGAATTGCTCATTTACAAAGTCAGAACATGAAACACAGCTTCCTAGCCTAGCTCCCAAGCGGCTGCCATCATCCCATTCTCAAAAAATGCCTTCTCTTTTGGAACTGGGTAACATCTCGCTCCTCTGCCCCTGTGCTGTTCAGAAATCTGCTTGATAGTTCACTGCCCTGCCTGTCAATCTCCATGAATGCAGAAATCCTGAGGTAACCACTGTATTGCCTTTGTTCCCTTGTTCTAAGGTTGGGGCAGAGAGAAGATGAGAAGATCACAAGGTAATTTAGGCAGATGACTCAGAGAAGCAGTATAAAATAAGCAAAGGGTCACAGAAGTACCAACTGCTAGCAACCAGAAAATGGATAGAGGACAGCCAAGGAAGGTTCACACTATTTTCTGCCTTCCTTGATCTCCTGAAGAGCCAGAGCTTTTGATGTGGGTCTCAAACTCCACATTCTGACCTTCCCCACTTCTCTGTCACACTGGGACAAATGATGGGCACAGAAGATGTGAGGAATAAGGCAGCACATGCAGCGTGCCAGACCAGAAAGCCAGTACCTCTCCCGACATTATCACAGTTGTGATGAAGCCCTTAAGTGTTTGGGAAAATCCACAGAGAAGGACTTTTGTTTTTTCTAAGATAGGCACATTTCTAACACAGGATCTTGACACCTTGACAGCACAGCACTTGAGAACCCATTTGGAATTTAGGAAGTCTCTGCAGGAAATACAGACATACAGGCAGCATACCAAAGCTGCTTCCTGCCGTGCCTCCTACTTTGGGTATTTCACCTTTCTGTGAGCCACAGGCAGTCCCTGAAATTCATGGCAGGGTGGAAATGCATTGTGAAATTTGCCAATTTCAGAGTTAAAAAAAAATTATTCCCTCATGAGCAGGCTTTCATCTGACATGCTAATTCTAAAAATCTGCCTTCCAACTGTTCAACTTTGCTTCAGTGAATGTCTCACTAAGCCCTTTCTAATAAATATCATTTATGATTTCTATGTCACACTTGTTTTGCAGTGAAATTGTGGAGGTAATGATGACTGGGTTGATTGACACCTAGTTATTCAATCAAACATATTCCTATCCTGCTAGTCACAGACCACACATGCCAAATTTGACGCTGAAACAACTTTTACTAGGCATTTTGGAGAGGGCTTGGGAAGAAAATCAGCCTTGTAATCAAAATCTTAACCATTTTGCAGCTACTGCAGCACCATAATACTATTTTCTCTCCTGCTGGCATTTTAGCAGCAGCAGTACTGAACACCAGAGAACTTCTTTATGGAGGGAGAGATAACAGCACACATTTACTGAGATGGTGGGGGGTTGTTTTCTTAACAATGGAAGTATACACAGGTGTATTTGGTAGTTCTCAGCTGGTGAGCAAATTTTTAGCTATAGCTTATTGTGCCCCTTTGGTGGGAAAAATGGATTTCACAGAAGTATTCTTTTCTGGGTCCGTGAAAGATAGAATGTGGGCAAGATGAGTGCCAGACGTAGAAAGGCAAAAATAGACACTCACCATCATACAATGCAGAAGCTAAGTAGTAGTGGGAGCCAAGACATCAGGTCACAATGCATCTTATAAGGCAGTAACTTACTTTCTCAGGAAAAATATTTGTTCTAAACCTGACACAATGTTTAATAAGATATTCTTCCTAAAGAGTAGGGACATGAAAATATCTTCACCATAGCTTAGAAATTAATTAAGGCTCAACAGAGTTTCTGGAGAATCTATTTCTTTAGTCCATATCCTCTCTCCTAAGGCACTACTAAGCTGCTCTCTCTTGCTTTCTCTCTCTCTCCCCCTCAGATTCCTCACTGAATTTCACCCCAATTTTTGTCCTCCTCTGAACTTGTGCTGAGTTTTGGGAGGTGCTTAGTAGACCAAACAGACAATTTCTTCAGCCATGAAGGAACTAGAATTTTCAGAATTTTATTAGAAGATCATTTATTCAAGCTTTCTGGATTGCTACTTGTGTCTTGGATTTCAAGAGCAATTTATTCATTGAACTTAACCTTATTCCCATTACAGCCAGACCTCACAGATATTCTGCGGTAGTTTTATTCTGTTTAGTTTCTCATGTAATTTCCAGAAATTACTTGCAGTTCTTACTTCTATTACTGTTAAACTCCACTTATTTTGGCAATACTAACAGAAAATTAATTTATAACAAAGCCTGTTATGGTTTTGGGCTGGTTTTATTATGATCATTATAACTCTATATCCCTACAAAGCATTATATTACCTGCAAGTACACAATGGCAAATTAAACACTAGATATACTGTTAAACTCATGTTTGTAAGAAATGCACTTATTTATATTCTTCTGTGAAGATACCACAGAGAAGGCAAAAGCAGTCTTTTGAATGCCAGCCTCACCTACATGCCAATGCCTCTGTTTCAGGAGCTGAGCACAAACTACAGTCCCAGTTTTGCAATCCCAAACAAGACTGATGGAGTAACTGTGTCACTCTCTCACACCTAAAATCCTTGGCTTAGCATCTTATAGGAGAGCCTCTGTAGCACTACAGGAAAGCCTGTGTAGCACTACCCATCCTCTGGCCACCTCATCATTCCATTGCCATCAGATCAAATATGAGGTATCAGCACTAATCCTGTTAGCACTGACTGCAGGAGACCAATGGGCCTCACAGTACTCCATGTCAGTGTAAAGGTGGAAATTTTGTCCATGTTTTAAGAGGAAAAAATGAAAGCACACATTATCCTTTAAATCTGCTGAAGAAAAACAAATTACACATACACAAATTGCCACCAATCAACCAGCAGCTCTCTGGAGCTGCTCAGAGGCCTGGTTTGTTGAAAATATTCTCATTGGGTATGGATTAGCAAGCTAACAGCAGAAGAAAGAAGTCAAAGATGCAAGATAAATTGGGTTTGTTACAGAAGCTGTGATTTATCATCACAGTATTGCCAACGCAATTGTAGAGAATTATATATAAATTTAATAAAACAACTGCTGTATTACATCTGTTATCCTGGAGTCAGGTTTGGTTATCTTTTCCTCGAGAAGATTTTTCTGCAAATAATGCCACTGAATATGGCCGTTTATATTTCAAAAGACCACCTGTATTACCTTACATGCAAATAATAGTATAAACTACAGCATATATCAAAATATTGAGAACATAAAATTATACATTGAGGAAGTGAAATCTTATATAATTCTCTAGAGGTGGCAGTTCCCTCTGATGTTCAACAAAGAAATAAAGACAGCTAAAGCAGTGAGAGCTCTTGTTAAACAAAATATGTATAAACCTGAAAGACCTGTCTTCTGCAAAAATACACAGCTAAAGTGCCATTGTCCCCCTTCATGCACCTGTCAAAACTGCTTGGGGGTTGCTGAAGTGAAGGTGAAGAGGGGAGAAGAGAAAAACAGCCACTGCAAATAAATAGAGTATTTTATTACAGAGTTATCTCCTTCTTGCAAGAATGAGTGCTGAAATGGATAATACCTTTCTGTGAAATCCACGTTTCCAGCTTCATGTTAAGAAGAGGCTCTTACCTTATGGGATTATCCATCCTTGATACTGTGAGAAATGCGGCTAAGTTTGCTGTGTAGGAAGAGCACACGATAAGGGTGAAGAGCCACCAGCTTCCCATTACAATGCGCATAGCTACAGAATTGACAGTAGATTCTCCCCCTACAAATTAAACAGAGAAAATGAGGGTGTCTCAGCAGCTTCCATTTACAATCACTCTCTGTCTGCCCTATTATGTTACACTTTTTTGGAGCTACCTCTTTGCATTTCTGGTTCTCCTCCAGACTGCTCTTTCACTGTGAGAAAAACACTGCTTCTGTGAAGACTGGTAATTTACAAATATTTTCTCCAGTCAATCTCTTGCCCCGGATACTGTTCTGAAAATCATCTTTCAAAGTATTTACTTTGGGAATTCTTTAGGTTCGAATCTACAGAATGTGAAAATTATTCTAAATAAAGTAAGTTTAACGGTGAAGCACAACTAATATGCAGGAATTAAATCATTACAATGTTCAGAATATAGTAATATTCTGTTTCCAATGACCATTTTAGATTTGGAAAAAACCCACAAAACTGTCCAATGGCTTGTGTGTTATCTGTGCTGTATTTAAATCTGCAGAGACTGAAGCATTAGTGTCATTACTTGTTACTCTACGCAATATTTTTTAAAATGTGAAGATTTCTTTCTAGCAGATTTCAAGCACAGTTATGCTTGAACATTGTTGGAGACCAGGTCTTACCTGTCACTTACTAGTCACTTCAGCGTACGTCTGTGCTGATTATATCTTATTGTACTTAAACCCACCTTAATAAGATGAGGGATCAAGTTTCATAGCAATAGTAAGGATTTTTCAGCTGAAGCTTTATAAGCTTCCAATCACAATGAAAAAATGTAGAAAAATTTAATAATGTACCCATATTCAACAAAACCTGCCTTCCAAGAAAAATACTAAATTATAGATATGGGATGAAAACTGTGCAGGCAGATCTTGCAAACAATTATTTACAAAAGTAACTTTGATAATGATAGCAATCCTACTGAATTTAATAGGATTAATCCCATGCCTAGAGATTGCTGAGTGTAAAGTTAGCTTCATGACTACACATTATTTCCCTATTCAGTTCAAAGAGCAAATTAAAAAAAAAAAAAAAAAGTCTCACATTAGTTCAAAAACATATAAACCTCTAAAATGAAATTTAAGCAGTTAGGAAAGGTGGTAGCCTCAGAGTTTGAAAAGTAGTTCTGCACCAAGCAGCTCTGTAGTTTATCACGTGATAATTTTCCCAAAGTTGAAAAGCCTGCTAGCAGTGTTTTTTCTGGACTTACTGAGAGACAGTAACAGAGAACATACTGCCTCCCCCACCCAAAAACTTACCTACCTCTTCCCACTTTTCATTAGCTGGGCTAATAAAACATGTTACACCCCTGCATGCACCTTCTCTTTGATCTTTAGACCATTCTGGCCAAGACTAACATGTCCTGAGCTGCTTTACCCAAGGCAGAACATTTCTGAACTTCCATCAGAGGTGTTTATAACAGTAAGTACCTTGCTGAACAAAGGCGCCATATACGACCCAGATGGCACTGTGGAGGGTAGAGGAAGCAGAAGGGCTCGGCTGGGAAGCATTCTGCGCCCTGACTGCCTGGATCCGGTTCAAGACAAATATCAAGACACCAACTATAGGGATGGCTGCAGCAATGCAAGCCCACACCGCAAAGTCGAAAGGAGCAAAGAGAGAGAAGATGTTGATTTTCTCTTCAGGCTTTTTGATTAAGATCCCCACGGAATAGTCCATGTACCGCTTGCTGAAGTCCACAACACTCTCTCGTTCTGGTGTTATAGTGATGGCTGAGATGGCTAGGTCTGCTCTCTGTGAGACAAACGCAACAGATCAGATCTCTTCCTTTCACCATGAATTTGGCCAGCGTGCGCCTTAAGGAGAAACATTTTACGAACCAAGTGACTCCATGCATTTCTTTCTATAACTTAACAGAAATTTAAATAAATTGCCTAAAAGTAAAACCAGAATCAGTTTCATAATTTGAACACTGGGTAACTGCACTGGTATAAAACATGTCAATATCTAAACCAAGAAGCATCACCCTGATTCCTTTCTGGAACAAGTACAACTTATTTAACCTTTATTTCTCACTCATTTTCCAAAGGATGCCTAAAATTCCAGACCATATTAAGCTGGTGCATTGCAAGCAATAAGAAACACTGTTTATTTTTAACTTGTGTATTTGACAGCAAGGTGCAAAGAGCTAATGTTTGTTGTTCTCCCTGCAGAATTGGCAACTTCCCATATTTATGATGGGATTCCATATGACAACTGGGGGGGAATATTTTGGTTTTTTGGGGTTTTTTTGTTTTTTTTTTTTTTACAATGAATAAAGCGATCGCATAAACTAGTAATTGGAAGAATGTACCAAAAGCAACTTAGCACCCAAAACTGCTTTGACCTCAACATTTAAAGCGAGTAGGTTTTACATGTAGAGGGTCTTTAAAGAGTATCCAAACTCAACGAAAGATAAACCAGCAGTTAATAAGTAAGATTCCCAAAGCCTTTGAAGAGCAGCAATTACATTATGAATAATGTTTTACCTTAATAAAAAGAATTCTCTTCAAAAAAATTGAATGTACTTTTTGTTTCCTATCTCTACCTTTTGTTGGGAAAATAAAGCAAATGTTAGGTGAGGGAGGTCTGCTTTGAAATCCTTTGGAGTCAGTGGAAAAGCCAGTAGCAGAAATACCATTTTAAAAATACTATAATAGTTACTTTGTTGCTTCAAAGAAAACAATTTCCAGAGAAATTTAACAGGATTTCTTACCCCATTTTCAAATCAATAAGATTCAAACAGCTTATGTCAATGCAAAGTAGGTAAAAAATTCTTTATATTACCTATCACCAACCAAGAATATCCCATTATCGAACACACATTTGCTACTGTTTCAATTGCTTTTATTTCTTCTTAAACAACTACTTACCAAATACTGAGCTGCCTACTTACTAGTTAATGAGAAAGCTTTCACTTTCAGTAACAACTCCACTGCAGAAGAGTAATCTTTTCTACAAAGGGCAGCCACATGGAATATTAATTCCTTTGATTCTCCTCTTGATTAACATTTGTCCCATACCAGATAGCAAGAACATGAACCAAATATGCTCTAATTTCATTCTCTGGGAGATTCTAAGGTAGGAACTTTCCCCATTTATTTCAATGGAGTTCAATTAACTTACTCCTGATTTGAAAGGCTGTAATTAAGAAAAGAAATTTGGTCCTCTGTGTTTTAAATGAATGTATAATCTTGAGATCAGTTTAAATTCTGGTCCTTCAAAACACTTCTTTATGGTATATTACATGGGGCACTTTTCCTGTTTTGGAGTCAAGCACTGGGTAATTATCACATTGCCACAAAGTGACCCAAATAAAGTCACACCTACAAACAAGCAGCAAAGACATAATGACAAAAATGAAAATAATAATCAACATTTTAAGAATAATACATTATTTTTAGTCTATTTTCTATAGTCATGCACTCACACACACATACATGTCCTCTCTTCTTATTCTTACAGCTATGTAAACACACAGATTTACACTGATAAAATTGATGTTGAGAAGACTTGGGAAGAACAGACTGTCCATTTCCTATCCTGTATACAGTTCACACTACACTCAAACCACACACGGCTCTGAAGTGTTCTGCACTTGTGCTTTCATTCTAATTCATTCTCTTACAGTTTGGAAGATTACAATGCTTTGACACCCTACTCCAAAGAGTCGGGGGGAGGGTTATTGTTAGGTTGTTTTGTCTTTAAATGCTGTTTTGGTTTAAGCCCAGCTGGTAACTCAGAACCACGCAGCCACACTGCACCAGCTACTAAGGAGAAAAATGACTGCTACAGCTGAACCCAGGACAAATGCAGATTCTTTTTCTGTGTACCTTGTTAATGAGTTCTCCTATCATGCCATTCCAGGAGCTGTTTTGGAGCTGCTGTCCATATTTGCCATCAGGAGCTTGATATATCTCATACTTGAAGCCCAGATTCTTGGCAAGTGCATCCAGGACATCAATGGAAAATCCTTTATATCGTTTCGGTTGCCCAAGAATATTCTCTGCCACCATCACAAAAGGTTCTTCCTGAGAATAAAACAGTATCTTAACTGATACTTGAAACAAGTTTTTTAGTTTGCTTCTTTTAGTAAAATAATGTTTCCTGAGTTAAGTTTGGACAGCTTGGCATAGATTTTGAGACAAAAACTGTAGGCCATGGGGGATACTATGAGGCATTCCAAGTAGACACCACTGCCTCAGCATCTGAATCCTATCTGTAGCCTTGTGGCTTTGTTTTTTCCATAGCTCTTGAGAAGAGGCAGAGACTCCAGAAAACCATTCAGCATCCTCCAGCAGCTTCCAGGTGCCTACAGAATCAATTATTCTCCAAATACCTGCCTCTTCTCACTGTCTATAAAAAGGGAATAGACACCTACCTTAATGTCCTATCAAGCTGCCTAGAATATAGATATTAAATGAAGCACGCAAGTCCTAGATAGGAACATTACTGTCCATCTATCTCAGACTGTATAAGATTTAGAAAGCCGTCTCTTACAGATAACAATTAGTCCAGGAGACATACTGAAACAAAAGCTAAACCCACTGCATTTAATGAATATTTAAAATTGTGAAAATTCAAAGAATAGCCTTCATGGGTACTGGAGTATTTTGAATTAAAGTATGTTTTGGGACCAAGGATATGCAGCATTTTATGTTATGTTTTCTGTCAGACGTGGGCATCCTGTTCTCCTGCAGGGGAACTCCAGGGCTGCCGGTGGCACAAGGCTGGCTGCCTTTGAAGCCTGATACTGATATTCTCATGGAAGGGAGCTGCTCACCTCCCATGTAAACTACAGCATAATCGTGCCTGTCATCAGGTAGAGCAAAGAAAAAGAAAAAAAAAAAAAAAAAGGAAAAATCACCCAAAAGATCCCATTCTGCAATCTGCAAACTGGAATATTATAGGGCAGTCAAGCCCCAATTTGCCCCTAATTTAGCACTTAGCTGAGAAGAGCTCCGTTACCACTCCAGATAGTAACAGACAGTCCCAAAAGTGTTAATGATTTTTTGGAAAGACTATGCCTTCCTAAAACATATAGTTTACCTCAATGGGAATTTATGAGCTTGATGGAGGAAACACTTGATTAAATTTTACAGCCTGCAGCATACAAAAGCCAAGATTAGATTATCATAATTGGTCCATCTGATCTTAAAATCCAGGAAATGCTGGAAAGTGCATATCTGAGTTAGAGTACAGTATCTGGAATGCACGCCTGGGCACTCAGGCTGTATGCTGGTTCCATGCCCAGTAAGAATTACAATGCAGAAAACCAGCATAAGCAAACAAACAAATGCTCTGTATCTCTAATGGTGCACAACTTCATGTAAAATAATAGAAGACCATCATCTATCTTCCTTGTTTATGTAACTGATCATCCAAAAATACAGTACTGAAAATGATACGGAAAAATACTGTGGGAAGTGCCCAAAATGCTCAGATTTTTTTTATTTTGAGCATTTTGTTTCCTGAACTCAAACAGCATCATACCAAGACAGTCACCACTTTGAGTGTCAATCCTTGTAAGTCATTGCCCAGACGTCGTTCTTGTAAGCTACCATTCAGTCCTTTTTCAGAGTCCCACGTTGCCAACTAGAACAGAAAGTATAGTGAGTGTGAAGGACTATTAGGCAGAAATCTTTTAGCATTTGTATAAACATTTAACAGTAGCTTGACTGAAATAGGATGAGAGATGTGTGGCTTTTTTTAATGCACAATTAGAATTAGTGAGATTCAGAGGACAGACATAAACAAGTACCTTGGCCGAATGTTTTTTCATCAATGCCTGTAGCAGAACAGCTGTATTATTTGTAGTATTTGTCATATTATTTCACTTAGATCCCTCTGATATGATATTTCTCTCCAGAGTGTTTATATTGTCTGACAATCCTCAGGAATATCTGTGATCTCACTATCCCATATTTCCCTCTCTGCTCAGATCCTCTCCTACTTTTCAAATCACTCTCTACTGCTTATTAAAAACTAACCTTTTTTCCTGCTGCACAGCATTGTCACTCGCGGATAGTCATAAAGTCTTGACACAGATTCTGTGGTGTCAAACTGTCTCCTTTCTCCCTCGGACTTTCTTCAGATCCTATCTTAAGTCCTGTTTTCTCTGTTCTTGCCCTATTTCTACATCATTAGTAAAACAATGACAGGCTCCTGATGATCAAATATCTTACATCTACCAGTACTTCATGCATCTGCTAGATGTACCCGAATGTATGTTTTCAGGATATATCCCTGGAACATTACATCTAAATATTTTATTTTTCAACTAAATGTATTGCTTTAAAAATCAGTTTTACTGCATTTTCTGAAGAGAAATGCAGTAAAATTCAATAGAATATGTTCAATAGAAAAGTCAATCTTGAGTGACCTTTGGATTATTCAAACTAAGTATGTTCTTCAGCAGCAACAGCTGTCAGACACCACTTTTGCTTTCAAACAGAATCCATGGTGTCATTTTGTTCAGAAGAGTCACAAATAATATCAAGTAGAAACTGTTTCCTTCTCTGCTTTTTTTTTGCTCTACTCTTAAACACCAATACTATGCTCACATATGTGGAAGCAGTGTTGTTAGCTGAAGGCACGCCCTGTAGAAATTAAACACAGTCCAAGATCTGTGAAATGTGGCTTCTTCCTGCTAGAAGCTAATTTTCATGTAAAAAGTCAAAACCTTCTTGGAAAGAACTTGTTTCACTGAAAATGCCTATGGCTACATGTCCTACATGATTTATTTCTATGACTTCAGTTTTATCCTAAAGCCTCAAAAATGAAACCAATAAATAAAATGTGATGGGAGAGATCTGTATAGTTTTATTTTTGTTTTATGGCACTAAACTGATAAACAGAGAACTAAAAAAGAACAGAACAGTCAGTAAATATTCAGCCATCATAACTATCACAACTGATGAAAATTATTCTATAGTCAGTAAATCTTCAAAGCTGAGAATACTGGAGAGAAAAGAATTAAGCTATACCTCCTTTTAAACCAGATGACCTAGGGGAGGGAGGAAGAGAATGAATGAATAAATAATATTCAGCTTTCTTATGACAATCCTGAATACTGAAGTATCTCAGACTGAAAACTCTCCCCTGTGATGCCAGTTTGGAGTGAAAGACAAGCTTCCACACATAAAAGTGTCCACAGCAATACAGGTAGATACCTATAGCCATGGCATCTGTTAAATCTGAATTTAGATGCTTGCTATGAAATACGTCCAGATGTTTCTTAGATTTTGCTATTGCCAAACCAAATTAATAAATTTGTCATCTGACATAAGTCACTGTGGTTCAACAGACTTCAAAGACCAACATAAGTGTGTGTGGCATATATTGTGCCTCAAATCTGTAAAAGAAAGTTCACTGTCTAATCCTTCTTCAGCTGTCAAGTGCAGTAAGTATATGACAAAGATGCGTGAAAGGTTTTGGCCAAAATGGCTTGCACAACCTACAGATGGTGATTATTTTTTTATTTAAAAATAGGAAATATAACACATTCATTTATTATTTCACCACTGGTGGACTAGCATTTCAATTCTTTCTCCCACTCATTCTTCCTTTCAAAAACTATCTGATTTCATATCAAGGCCTTAGACTTTCTGAATACCCTACATTTCACATTCTGCATTAACTCTAAAAATTCTAAAAAGAAAATGGAGACATGCCAGTGGAAAACCATAATTTTTTTCCTTTTATTCAAAAGGAGTAAGACAAAGAGTCCTGTTTTATACAGTAGTTGTAAGTGCAAGGACAAGGAGCATATTTCACTTCAGCACAGAACTCCATAGTGTTCTCTACGGAGGCACAAACATTTCAGTCTCTAAAAAGCAAACTATGCATGCAAAGTTGGTAAAGGGAACATAAGAAAAACCATTTCCAGAAGGGATTTTTCCTGTGCATCCTTGTGCTTCAGAACATTTCATTTGTTCAGAAATGCGCCGATTTTAACTTCCACTTCTTGCAGATAGAATTTTGTTTATAGGACTGATGTATTTACAGATACATCTATCAATTTGTGACAGCTGACCTGTCAAGATCGGTGCCTGAGAAACTAATTTCCAGCACTGTTAAACACAATGAGTACTGCTGTTAAGGCTGTTAGAGTTTCATTCTTTGTAGAAATATGTACCAAGTTCCTACCAGAAGTCTGAAGCCAAAGGTTACAGCACAACCATCAGCTGACAGGAGATAAAGGGCTTTTAGATCTGATTATGACAAACAATTACTTGCAGAATCAGCATTTAAAAAATCAATGGTCTCTGGAACAAATATTTAATGGCAGCCTGAGTGTTTGGGTTTGGTTTTGTTTTTGTTTTTTTTTTTTTAATTTTCACGTTACTCAGTTATGGGTGTTCAAGTTTTGAAAACAGCTACTTTATGAAAGTCTTTCAACTTAAACCTTCTTCCTAGCTTCTCTTTCTGAAATAGACGTATTGCTGGGAATCATACAGTTCTAGCAATACATCAGAAGCTCGATCATCCAATAAAGACAAACCAAAGGAAACAAATGTGAAATTCAGACAAAAAGTGATTTGTTGGAAAATTCTGACTGATCTGATTCTGAAAGATCTGACTGATCTTTATCAATATTTACTGCATTTTCAACCAGAACTGCAAGGAAAAGCTTGAAGGGAGAAAGTCACAATTTTATCATTGTTTTCAACCTTCGCAAGCAATTTATAGCTCCAAACACAAATACTCAACACACAAGTGAAAGAATTACATGGCTAGACAATCTAGGATTGCCAAATGATAAATTATGTCATCCAAAGTATGCCTCTCGGACCTGCTGTTCAGGACTTTGTACTGATATGTGTTAGGATCTCCAAAGAAAACTTGATGTCAGTGTAACCTTAGGGTTCCTGAGTTCCCATTGGCAAAATTAGTCAATCTTTTTCAAAGGAGTTTCATGGCTTCATTAAAGATGCAGCTGCTGGATGCCCAACAATTACTTGAGTGATTAGTTCCCCAGGGGAAATCATATAGAGATCTCAAGGTAAAGTCACATCAGAGAATATCAGAAACACCTCCACAGAAATGTGAAGACCCTCATCAGCACAATGAGGCAATCCTTCTGCTTAAATAAATCAAGGCTGCATTAAACACTGATTTGCAAGATTTAATACCTCCTGTGAATTTGATCAATTAGATTGAGATCCTGCATGCCACTTCCTTTAGGAGATGGAACTGATGATAAACTCAGTTATTTGTTACACATCTGTGTGTCTGCAAGTTCCTACTACTCTATTACACAATAATTAAATATTCCTCGAATCAGGAACTTAAATTTAATTTTTCTAACTCTGCTGTAAATGTTCACACCACTGAACTATGGCAAACATCTGTCTCAGGCCCAAAACAAATGGAGATGAAAATTATCCCAAACTACTAGTAAACACTGATAAAAACTGACATTAGCATAAAAAGTTAATATTTAATGTTTCTATCGCAACAGTGAATGAGATCATCTACACTGTTTTAGCTTATCATGCAGTAGTTACTGTCCAAGTAACCACGTCACTGCTATCTAACATCATTGTAAGTATGACGTCATGTTAACCATGATCTATTTTTCAGGGAAAATTTGATTCCCATGAGAAACAAAGCATGATAATTTTCAGCGGATGCATAGCAATGTTTGAAAGTGCTACAATCAATCCAGAACATGCACGTTCTATTTTACCAAAACCTGAAAACTTTGATCTGCTGACTCCTTTGGAGCTAAGGTTACACTTTCCAAAGAAATGAAGTTTGGGAATTCCAGCCTTGAAACCTGATAAACTTCTAACAGACAGGAAACTGAAGAGAATGCAAGGTGGGCAGTTCTCATGCCATGAGACAGAGACACTTATATCAAGCTAGAGCACATCTTCTGTGAATATGAAAGCTGTTTTGTACATGGATTTAAATAAGTTAATATATGCCACTCACAATCTGATAATGCTTTTAGATTAAAGTTGAACTGAAACAGATCTCAATTAAATGACAACTTGTTTCTTAAACTTGAAGTCAGCATAGTGTATATCAAATGCGATGTCCTTGTACCATATGTACGTATGCTTTGTGTGTTGGGGCGTCACTCCCTTTGCCAGTCTTGCAATAAAGCTGAACTCTTACTGAAACATTTGACATTGTAAAAGCAGATTTTAAGCTAACATGATAATAAAAAAGAAAAAAGAAAATTAATGTTTACAAGGCATTAAATAAATGGAGAAAACTGGACACTCCTCTGTTGCAGTTTTAAGGAGTAAAAGGAATTCTATTTTAATCTAAGAAAACAAAAAATTTACATTTAAGTTAACAACTCTTTTTTCAAATGCAGTATATCAGTAATCTAAAGAATCTGTCATTCAATATTCACAACAAGGTATTAGTAGGACTCACACATTGGACTATAGAATCATGGAATCATAGAATAGTTAGGGTTGGAAAGGACTTTAAGTTCATCTAGTTCCAACCCCCAACAACGAGCATTTAAAGATAAAAAGAAAATACTTAACCAATAGATCTATAGACAAACAATAATGAGAAATTAGAAAAGAGAATTCTGTTGTTGGGCTTAGTGGGACAAATTAGAAGACTTCTTC